AATCAAAAGGCAAAAAATTTATTAGATTAACTGTCTATATCTATATCTATCTATCTATATCTATATATTATAAAAAATGTTACACTCAAGCATTAAGTAGGCACTAAATTTTTTCATTTTTATTTTAGTTATCAAAAATATATTTTGTTAAAATTAAAAAAGAAAATGCAGTATTTTTATAATAAAATATAATAAATATACGTATTAATAATATTAGTTTTACTTTTTTTTTATCTTCTCATCTTTTTCTTTTCTACTTCTTTTTTTAATATTCTCATTTATTTTATTGTTATTAGCTTTCATTACTTATATAATGAATGAATTAAATCAAAAAAAGATGAATAAATGCCTAATTTTTATGAAAAATAAAAACATAGGATTACAATTTTATTCATCATCATTATAACACTATTACAACTTTTATTTATTATTTATTTTTATCATTTTTAATTTTTTTCACCTTATGCACTTTTTTTTTTTTCGGTTGGAAAAAAAGGTGCACAACGAAGTGAAGTCTAAAAAAGCTTGACAAAGAGAAGAAGATTTTTGTACAAATTGTTTGATTTTATTTCATATAAAATTGTTTTTGTTTTATCAAAAATATTGTTTTTAATTAATAGAATATGTATATATATTTGTTTTGAATGTAAACGTACAAAAAAAAAAAAAAGTGTGATGATGATGCAAAATAAGCCTTTTATAAATAAATTTAAAATATGAAGAATTTGAGAAATATCTATATTAGTTTATCAATCTTTATAAATGTCAAAATCAATCAAATAAAATTTGAGTTTTATTTATTTATTTATTTTGGATTATGTATATGTGCTTTAGAGGAAACAGGAATTCAGGCTTGCCGACAAAATGTCCAGGCAGCCATAAACGACGTCGTTTTGACAAAAAGGCCAAATAATACCTTCTCTTCCCTTTCCCTCTAAGTTCCTTCCTGCTAAATCCCATTCCCATCTTCTCAAACCTAATGAAACTTCTTATTCAATCAAACACCCTAATTGGGTCACCTATAAAGGGAAATGGCCTCTGCTAAAAGCCTTTCTTCCTCATCACTTTTCTCTCTTAACTATTTGTGAACAACTTCTTTTGAGAGGAGTAGGCGCAGTGATCAAGAGTTTATAAAATCTTGTTAATTTGATATTTATCATAACACTCTTATCCATTTTAACAATTTCTGAGCACCTTCTACTCCTCCATTTCTTTGATTTTTCTTCCAATTATTAAGTTTTAGCTTCTAAAATTAAAATTCTAAATTTGGATTGAAATTTTAATTTTGATTCTCCCAATGTCAAAATCTGAATTAGTGATTTTTACATTGTAAAATTAGAGAGATTTGGTTAATGTGACTCTTAACATGAGGATAAACCTCATTTTTGTTCATAAAATTGAATATTTCTTTACCTGTAAGCTATCTCTAATCTTCAACCTCAATTTAAGAAAAAGAGGGTTCAAAACCCAAGTCCATTTTCGTGGATTCATAATGGTTTGAACAGAAAACTGCGGCTAAAAATTTTGTAAATTTGTGGAAGCAAAGAAGCTCCAATAAACAGAGAATGGATCTAAAGATGGGGCCTATGCTATTTATTTTCTCAAAAGGAGTTGGATTTTACCAAGGGCGGGCTGGTCCGCTGTGCACGACCGACAGTGACAAACACATGGTATTTAGAACAATGATTTCCAGTAAGAGAGAAGGATTTAAGGATAAGTTGAGCAGTGGAAGAAACGATGGGAATGGGATTTAGTAGGAAGGAATTTAGAGAGAAAAGGAAGATTTGGCTTTTTATCAAAATGACATCGTTTATGGCTGTCTTGGCTTTCTTTCTTTCTTTTTTTTTGTTAGGAAGGCCTAAATTTCGTTTCCTCTATGCTTTATTTTTATTTTTTTTAACACATATTTTAAAATTACTATTTAATAATAATAATAATAACAACATCAATAATAATAAAAATTAAT